TGGAAGAGAAGTGCTTTCAGCAATATCTCTGCTCGAGCTCATCTTTCAGAGCACTCTAATCAAGACAAAGCTGCTCCCTCGAGCCTAGATAGCGCACCGACCTCAAGTTACAGTGACCACCAAGAACTCGACCTGTACCGGACTCTATACTGGAAGCTTCAGAATCTCGAACACCATCAAGACATATTGCCAACGGCGTATCAGACATTGAACACCCTGCTGGATGATGTGCCGAGGGGGGAGAACACCGATCACAGCAACAGCATACTGTCTATTGATCGATACGATCATGCCGCGCTTCAGAGATTTGTAGATATCCAGCATGACATGGTCTTCGATCAATACGACCAATACCTGCAGCGCCGAATGTCCGGAGGAAATCCAGAGCTCTTCAGGACCCGAGGAGAAGCTGAACAATGGCTGATTCGGAATGCCCCCGTCAAATACGTAGATGGCGCCTGGCTGGGCAATATCCATCGCGTCACCACCCCGTTCGCCCTTCGCCCAGTCACCAAGATCGCCTACCAAGTTCTCTCCGAGGAGCTTGGGGATGGTGACCTGGCCAAAAACCATGTCTACCTCTACCAGGAAGTTCTGCGAAGTACCGGCATCACTCTGCCCGCCGGAGACTCCCCTGGCTTCATCCAGAACGATCTGGGAATGGACGACACCCGTGTCTGGAAGGCTGCTGTGGGACAACTGCTCATTTCCTTGTTTCCCCACGACTTCCTACCAGAGATTCTGGGCTTCAATCTGCACTTTGAATTATTGACGCTAGACACACTCAAGGCTGCCAAAGAGCTCCCTTCGTTTGGTATCTCCGCTCAGTACTTCCTCATACACATATCGGTAGACAACGCCGACTCTGGACACACCGCAATGGCTCTGCACGCAGTCCACCAATACCTGGATGTCTTAAAAGAAGCTGAAGGACCCCAAGCATTACAGGCGGCCTGGAAGCGCGTCCAGGCTGGCTATGTGCTATCTAAAAGGCTTGGAGAGCGTGATGACCTGGCCAATAGTGATAGGGACTCGTCATTGACTCACGAAGAGGCGACCATCATCCAGATTCTTCGAGACAAAGCCGCAGTTTCTCATCGGTTGCATTGCACAAGCCGGGTCAAAATCGGCGGCCTGGCATTGGCTGATTGGCTGTCACCCAGGTATCTGGACGACAGACGCCAACAAAGGGCCATATTGTCCGGGCTCGGCAATGCATCGCCCTGGATAGTCAAAGGAAACGCCGGGAAGAGTCGTTTGATCAACGAGCTGTTGTGGAAAGGCAAGATGTTTGGCGCCTTCACCGTCAGCGAAGTCATGGCTTTTAGATCCTGGATCGAGTCTCTGGAGACTGCGGAGCCTTTCTCAAAGCCACTCCAAGAAGATATGACTCTGTTTGAAACCGATCCGAGCAGATTCTGGCAGGCCAAACGAGCAGGCATGACTTGGCCGTGTTTCACGTCACCCGAGACGACAGAGAGTCTTCGAGAAGCGTGCAACAACAGGGCGCAACGAGCTTTGACGGAGAGCCCGGACTTCCATGCTAGCAGGCCCTTGCAGATAGCCGAACGGTCTTTCGGCGTCTTGCGCCCGTTATGGTTTGCCCACCTTTGCCTCCTGGAGAACACCATCAGAATCCCATATCAAACAGCCAACCCTCTGATGTCTTGCATCCTTCGCATCCTCCGAGCAGAGCTCGGCTTCTCTGCAGAGGCAGACGGTGTGAATGGCGCGGACGAGCTGAAAGAGGAAGGGATGTACCGTAGTTTACTTGATCTTGGGAGAGGCATGGTGCAACGCCGCGGTTTGGCTGATCCGTCCTGCTTGAAAGACGCGTTCGGAGAGTTGGATGGCAGCTGTGCGCTCGCGGTCAAGTTTTCGTATTCGATGTTGTCATGGTCACTGCGGCCAATGGAGAACTTGGGTCTCCTCTTAGGTCTCTCACGAGCCTTCTTGGACATGGAAAAGCAGGTGACTGTTGGCCCTTTTCTTGACTCGACAGACAGGGAGGCGCTGCATCGGGTCGTTGAGAGGAAGGACAGAGGATTCCAGGAGTGTCTGGAGAATATGGACGAAGACTCGGCCATACGTAGAGACTACCTCCTCGGGTATCTGTTCGGCCAGGAACAGCTTCAGAGCTTGTTCGAGCCTTGACTTGGGATAACTAGATTATGTGAGTAGAGTCATGGAAGGAGTATGAGTCGTCCAACGCTATATAAACAGGATGCATCCGAGCCGCCTCACCCTGCTCCTCAACGTCCTTCATCAAAATCAAGGTGTGAAGTGGCCCAATCCATCATCCGTCATCTAGCATGCGCCGTTATTCATGCTCTGTTACATGCTCTGCTCCCCAACAATGGACCAATCCGCAATACCACTCCCCTCGTTTCCTGTCGTTCTCATCAAGCTGTCAAAGAAAGCCAAGTCGACGCCCTGGAACGCCCAGTCTTCCGTCCCGGCGGCTAATCCAGGATATTCTTCTTGTCGCAGAAGAGGATCGGCCAAGTCACCTATGTGCTGCGGTGTGAAGTGTGTACTAGGGTGATCTGTTACAGGCGTCGACATTGACAATGCGCCCGATTGCATTGGAGTCGTTGAATAGATCTCAGGCCTCAATACAGGTGTATCGGCATGACGGTCATCGGTGCAGGCCATCGCCATGCTCTGGGAATCGGGAGCCCCCTGAAGCCCGTCGAAGCTGGGTGGCTGCGTTTGAGGATTCGCCTGACTGCCTCGCGGAAAAATCTCGTTGAAGATATCCGCCGTTTGCGAATGAGCCGGGCGATTGGGCCTCCCCGTAGCGGATCGTGACTCGGGTCGCATCGTGCTAATGCCCTCGCGGGTGATCCGGATAACCCCAAAGTAAGGGATGTGCACACTTACGGCACCTTCATCATTGACGTCCGCCTGAGTCGACTCTGTTCCGGCTTTGTACACGCTCACCCTTCCGGCAAATCGTGAACAGCCAGTTGTACTGTCAGCCTCGATTGCGAGCAATCTCTGTAGCAGATCGGCACTGTGGGCGCTAAGTGAGTCTGAGTTTAGACTCTTGGCTTCTTGGAAATTCTCTTGTATCTGCTCAATCATAGCGCGATCACTATGATACTGGTGAGCAAGGAGATTCTCTGCTCCCAAGTGGTAGCTGTCGAGATGGGCTAGCAACAAAGTTATAGCAGCCATCAGGGCGAGGAAGTCGATAATTCGACAGCTGGAGGCGATGTCGTTGAAGCTGCGAAGGGCGATGAAACGTGTGAGAATTTCCCGCGAGGCATTTACGCAGGTTATTCGGGAGAATTCGTACTTTCGATCAACCATTGAAGATCGGAGCATGTAGGGTAGATGAAGCTGATTGAGAAGGTTGTAGTGAAGTACTTGTGCAAAAAGACGCCCCGTGTTCCAAAACGTGCTCCGAGGGTCCGTTTCTGCACTGTCCAACTTGGGTGTCAACCACCACTTGCTGGGGACGCTCCTAGCGGCCTTCTGTAGCTCTAGATCCAAGGTTTGAGTTATATTCAGGTCTTGGGCGCTTGGCTCCAATTCGTTGCGTTCGAGGACTCGGGAAGCAACCACGCAGTGTATCCGCTCAAGTCGTTCCATAGGAAGACCAGCTCCTAGTATCTCCTGAGAACCCATGTTCTTCTCGGTACAGCCCTGCGGGAGGCCAAGCATAAGACATAGGAATCGGTCCAGGAACACGATCCGAGACCATATAATGCGTGGGTCGTATTTCGTCCTGGCGTCAAGCACTTCGAACTGTGAGCGGTTGTCCGAGCGGTTGATGCCCATGAGTTGCCCAACGGTAACAGCTCTTCTACCTGCTACCCAGCTTCGTCGGAGGTTTCCCAGGTTCGCCTGGTATACGCTCTCTATCATAATACACTCCAGGCCTTCCATGCTACCAAGTAATTCATCTTTAGTCGTGACGTAGTTGATGGCCAGATTTGCTAGCCGTTCCGACATGGCTTGCGGCGTTTCCGAAAGACCTTTGATCTCGGCATGGACTTCAGGGTGAAGATGTTGCAGGAGGCTGGCGAGAAGAAGCATGTGCTTCGCAATCAGTACCGGATGCGTGTTCGGGTCGGGGATTTCGAATGAGTTTCTGTGTAGCGTCCTGTCGTTTAGCGAGAGGCAAGTGTACGGCATTGTCATCATTTCATGAGCAAGCACAGGCCGTTGAGGCATGGCGTTGTATATCCTTGTGGTATCTTCGCGAGAAGGCAACGATGCGTGCAGAAATCGAGACAGGCTGTCGGACTTGTGGAATGACCGCTGTTGTACAGGCTCCAAGGTCATCGACTCAGGTGTTAACGGCTTATCTGATCGGGATGTGTTTGCGCTTGAGACACTTGACACCGTCTCTGCTCCGTCAGCAGCGCCGTTCAGCCTCGCGACCATATTCATGTCTATCGCGCTGTCTTCCGGGAACTCCTGGCTAAGGCAGCGAGAGCCTCTTCTTCTACAGCCAGAGCACGCCGTGGAGTTCACGGCTGACTCAAAGACGCATTTCATCTTTCGCCGCTTGCATTCCCAGCAGCTGTGGGTGCCTCTTCGCAGCTGCCTTCGCCGAGCTCTGAGCTCGGCATGGGTTTGCGGCGCATTAGGCGGAGAAAGGACGGTAGGCATTCTGCTTCCAGGCATGCGGTGCTTCAATAGCGCTCGTGTTGAGTTGTGATTGTCCCTGGGAGGTTGAGATGGCACGCCGAAATTAAGACCCAAAGCGCGGAGAGACGGAGGCCGTGCCAAGCCTTTAGTTAGCCACGTGATGGCCCGCATATGGTTAGCGCAATTGTTGGGCGATCCTTGGTTTTGACATTTGATAGTCAAAGAGCTTCCTCATGTGCTTACACACGTACGCTGAAGATTGTGATACCTGTTTTTATGCAGGAAGCAAATTGGTGACCAAATACTCGGTGATGCTCTCAGGGAACGGCTGCTGCGTTGCCAGATCTATGAATACTAGTCTAATCTAGACGAACCTCTGGATGTACAGCGCCACGCGATCAATCTTCCTCGACATCGTTCTCGTCAAATACCAGGCAGCGCACCTCAATACTCTCACGCTCTTCTTCCCCTTCAGTCCCTGGGATCTTGAACGCTGTATGCGGCACCCTCTTCGCACGCTTTTCATATTTCTTCGCACTCTGCGCACCAGCACGGGTATCAAAACACTTGAATATAACCGCCTCGTCTGGGGTTTGATGCCATTTGTAGTACCACAGCTGGCGGTCGGTGTACTTGACTGAGAGTGTCGCGCCGGTGCGGTTCCCATGAGGATATACAACGGGACTCACGACGAGATCTTCCTCAGAGAAACACCACGACGGCGATAGAGCCAGAGGATCTCGCCGGACCGTTTTGATGGGCCTCCAGACATTGATGATCTGCACCCGGCCTTTGAGAAGCTTGTCGGCATCTTCAGGCAAATGGAATGCGACGCGTGAGAGCGCAGATTCATAAGACTGGTCGACGTGAACCGAGAATGTCGGACCAATGGGGCGGCGACCTTGCTTCTCTGCATTATGCGATACTGCTCTGTTACCCTGGGTCTCATTGCTTTCCTTCTTGGCAGGCCTTCGAATCGTGTGGTCGAAGATATGCACACGCGTAGCGCCAGTTCTGCAACATCACGTCAGTCCCTGCCATTTTTTCTCATTTTTCATGACGTTTTTGCTTTCTGGGCGAGGCACAGCGTACACTTCTTTCAGGAGCTGTTCAACTTCCTTGTAGTAAATGTCCTTGATTCGGTCCGCATCCACGAAGTCCTTCTCTTTGCTAGGCGATGTGACAAATTGAAAGCCATGGTCGTCCAGTGTGTACTTGGCCTCCTCTCCAGTAACATCGTGCACGGTCACTTGGTGGTTCTCCGAGGGACGCTCAAATGTTTCTGGTCGCGCCATGTAAGCCGGCGCAGGCGGTGATCCATCTGCATTGGGTTTGTAGAAGGTGAGTGTCGTCTGAACATCATGTCTCTGGACTGCGGCTGCTGCCATGGCCAAGCTTGATCGAGAGAATCTGAAAATCTGCCGTAATGAGGTCTGACTCTTGCGGCGAAGCATGGGTTGCTGCGCTATGTGATATACTTTGTACTGAAGATTCATGTGTTCAAGCACGACTTTGTATTCCAGTCGCAGAGCGTCAGCATAACGTCATTACGGACCTCTGCCATACCTAAATTGCCCCGTCCAAGAGCTTCAATTTGCGAGTGCATTGTTAGGTAGGTAGGCGCAGGCGGCGCCTGCTTGCGCAGTGAAGACACAACGCGGCGGACGGAGCAAGTGACCGGAGCAAGTATGGTCGAAAACACGGAGGTATTATGTAAGCACGCGGCCTCCGGGACAAGGCTGGCGTGACATCACTAGGGCCGTGTCGTCCGTGTCTCTCATTGGTCAACCGGGGGAAGCGAGTGGCATCCGAATTATACTTGCTCTCTCTTGTTTGTCTTTCCGTCTCTTCCTTACTCTATGAGACAGGGACAACATTTAAAAAGATGACTGAAGCGATTCAGCCTTCATCTATCCGCGACGTATCCTTCGACTTGAGCAATTCCGAACTCACCGCGATGTCGACCCACAAAGAGGAGCACGCGGCAAAGTTGTCGCAAGACAGCATGAACCCATCAAGACGCGCCAGCGATGAAGAGAAAGCCCAGGAATCTCCTCAATCGTTTCTCGTGGACTGGGATGGCGACAAAGACCCCCTCGACCCGCGTACCTTCTCTACCGCGAGAAAATGGTTCTACGTGGCTGTAGTGGCTGTGGGTTCTCTCTTGGTGTAAGTATTTCGACGTCTCCTTTGAACGGAGCGCGCTAACAGCCGATAGGACTTGCACCTCTTCCCTGTACACCTTGACCTATGACCAGCTCATCGCCAGATTTGGTTGCTCTCTCGAAGTCTGCAACCTTGGGCTGTCGCTGTACCTCGTCGGCCTGGCCTTGGGACCTCTTCTCTTCAGCCCAATGTCAGAGGTAGACGACCTAATTCTCCTCGCTTTGAGCTTTTCTGACTTCAATACCAGTTCTACGGAAGGCGCCCAATCTACATTACCTCGATCTTTTTCTTCCTCATCTGGTTGATTCCGTGTGCTGCTGCCCAGAACATTCAGACTCTCCTGGTAGGGCGTTTCCTGAATGGTCTTTCTGGAAGCGCATTCCTTGGCGTCGCTGCCGGAACTGTCGTCGACATGTTCGTCCCTGCGCAGCTCCTAATTCCTATGACAGTCTTTACTGGAGCTCCTTTCGTGGGCCCAGCTCTTGGTCCCATTATGGGGGGTTTCATAAACTCGTTCACAGACTGGTATGACCCTAAACAATGCTCGTATGTCTCCAGCCTGCTGACATCAATTAGGCGCTGGTGCTTCTATGTCCAGATCATCTGGGCCGCCGTCGTCTTCCTCTGCGTCCTCATCACTCCGGAGACCTTCCACCCGGTTCTCCTCAGCAAGAAAGCGGCTAGGCTCCGCAAAGCCACCGGCGACAATAGATACCACTCCGCCTCTGAGAAAGCACGCGCCGGAAAGACCCTCGCTGGTGCCATCTTGGAGTCCCTCTACGTCCCATTCAAGCTCCTGTTCTTGGATCCGATGATTGCCATTCTCAGCACATACACCGCCCTCCTGCAAGCGATTCTATACATGTGTTTCTCTGCCTTCCCCTTGGTCTTCGGCAACAACCACGGTTTCAATCTGTGGCAGATTGGTCTGACCTTCCTCGGTCTGGCGGTGGGAAACGTGATTGCTTGCTTTTGCAACCCGCTCTGGCACAAGCAGTGGATGGGATCGATCGCGAAAGAGAAGGCAAAGCACGGAGCAGACTACAAACCCCAACCTGAGCTCAGACTCCCCCCTGCCATAGTAGGAGGCCCGATGCTGACCGGAGCATTGTTCTGGTTCGCCTGGACGACTTACTCTTCCGTGCATTGGATCGTGCCCATCATTGCCACCGTATTCTTCAGCACTTCGTGAGTACATCCTCTGTTGGCGGACGGCGGATTCACTGACTTGAACGAATAGCTTCTTTTTCCTCTTTCAGGGGATCTGGACATTCCTGGTTGCTGCATACCCCAAGTATGCCGCCAGTGTCATGGCTGTCAATACCACTACCCGCTGTCTCCTCGCGGCGGTTTTCCCGCTGTTCACGGTTCAGAGTAGGCGATTTTCAACAAGAATGGCTTGAAACATGCTGACAAGTTGGAAGTGTATGACAACCTCGACTACCAATGGGCTTCGTGTTTGATTGCTTTCTTGACCTTGGCAATGGCACCGTTCCCGTACGTGCCAGCATACTCCGCGATGTTTGGCCAGGCAGATTGCTGACCAGGTTTAGGTTCATCTTCTACAAGTTCGGGTCGACCATGAGAGCGAAAAGCAAGTTCACTCACACTTAATCGACACTCTGTGCCGCGTTCGAAACGTTCACTCAGGGCGTACCGGAGGCCTGTCGGGTCGGGAACGGCCTCCATTTCTCGCCAAGCGGATATGGCATTTGGTTTTGAACCAACACAGTTGATGGCACATTGGGATGTATAGCCAGTCTACATGTACTTCTAGCTAATTAAGCGTCAGTGCTTGGCCACGTGTTCCAGGGCAGTGCAGGTGGTGGTCAGTAGGACAGCTTGCTTGACCAAGGTCACAAAAACACAATAGATTTACAGCTGAACCACATTCTACAACTCATCCCCTCCTGTGTCTTGTATGAGGAGTCCAACTGTGTAGCCTGTTGACGACAGGATGACCTCCTGCAAGAATACTACCGAGGATGTAACGCTGGTTCGATATCGAGCAAACTAGGGGCAACAGCCTTATCCATTCAAGGCTGGAATCTTTGCAAACCCCAAAAGCTCGTCTCTTGACACCTTCATATTATTGGCGTTGACTAAACGGCCGCTAGTGTGCCTGTTGGGGTGCTGCTCGCATAGGCTCGTACTTGACCTGGACTGGCTGTTTACCAAAAGCGCACTGAATAAGGGGTACAGAATATCTCATTGTGTGCCAACCACATGCGCGCCGAACATGGCCTTTATGATTTTCCATCTCGATCTGAATGCGTACCATCTTGTGCCACTAGGAAAGCGACCTGCAGATCAGCAACAATCAAGAGGCGAGCACCAGAACCTACGGGAATTTTCCGAAAAGAGGGTGAATAAACAGACAGCACCTTTACCCTGGCCCCTCCAGACAAAAGCAACCAGTGTCGCGTTTCATTCTGTCAAGACTAAAAAACTGCCGTGCATAATCTAAACAAGGCGCGTGATGCCGATGGACCAGAGTCCAAGAGTTTTGGAATAGAGAGAGTCGAAGACTACTGACAGTAAGTTGATATATCGACGCGATGGGCAAAAAGGCCCAACTACCGAGAAAGCTCTCACCAAAGGCCGGTTACTCCTTCCTCGTATCGGAGAGAGGAAACGTACAGATGAAGCGGCCGGCGATCTTCTTTCCAACCTCGAACCCAGGCTGAACCCCTCAAGCTGGAGCAAGGGCATATCACAAACTAACGAAAAGTTGGGTGCGGAGTAAGAGCCGTTGACAGCCTTGCAGACACGAGCTGTCCGAGCTGAAGCTTTACCTCACATCGAGAGCCGAGAGGCGCTACACCAGAGGATACGGACGTATGTGCAAAGCCAGGCATAAGAGTCCGACCAAGCAAGTAGAGTGATGTCAGACTTGGCGAAAAGACACGAGGAGTCAAGGCCGTCGACGGACACGCAAACACAGGCTGAAACCATACGTGATGGTGGGAATGACAAAGGGCAAATACAGTTCTGGGGAGGCTTTAGTCTTTTTGGGGCATCGAGTCCCTCTTGGCCTGCAAGGGTTGGCCATTGCACCGTGAGGCTGAGTAAAATTTCTCAGTGCTGGCACACGAAAAAGGGTGGGCTGGTTTACCGATAAGACAGAGCACTGTTTCTCGTCTCATAGTTGAAGTTCTCGAAGTCTGAAAGAAATATAGGGAGAGAAGGAGTAGCAGTACAGATCCCCTTACGTTGAGGTTCAAAACTGGTAAAGGGCTAGGCGTTCGCCTCACAGAAGGTAGCGTCTTGGGCTGCACGCAGGAGCTAACCCGTTCGGTTTTCCGCAAAACTTAGCCCTGACCTTGCAGTCAGGCGTCGAGCAAGCCGCGTCAGCCATTTATGATAGGATTCATTAGGAGTTGTCTTCTATTTGACCACCGGGTACGTCTGGGAAGTTTCCCATGATGGACTCAGGACTGTTGCCACAATGGATCCATTGGCGGTTGGGACAAGCACCAGCAATACACTCTACATAACGACCCCTACCCCCGGTACTGTTATTTGCGTAGCGACAAAGTCTTCTATTCTACATATCGATTTGCTAATACGCCCTCGCTAGCGCTCGCCTCCAACAGCGGTGCTGTAGAGAGTTGCAACGAAATCCTCAGCCTTATTCGTTTTTCCCCAAGTTGCTCAGATATATCAAATTTAATGGCACTCAACGTTTGGCGCCGATTCATAACTTTCTGTGGGCTATCGCATGAGGAGTTAACGTCTGATGTACGTCATTGGATATGTTTTGGGAGGAGTAGGCTGATCGCCTCGTAGCATCGAAAGCAAGAAAACCCGCCGAGGTGTCAATCATCCCAAAGACGTTCAAAGGAATGGCAAAAAGCAATCCGTTCAGCCAAAGACCCCTTTGCAATCAATGAGACTTTGCTGAACCATCTCGTTCAAAATGAGACCCCTGGGGAAGCCCTGTTTGAGCTCGAACAAACGATAAATTACCTCTACAGCCTTGGGGAAATTGTAGCGGTTCCTGATTTCAAGGTTAGAATGAGGAAGAAGGTCGAAGTCTTAGAGATTTATATCCACGAGATCAGAGACAAACTAGGGTGGAGCGTTCGAGACATTGATCTGCAGCTATTGCAGCAAATTCGCCGAGGGGGCTGTTTGTCGGTCGTGCTCGGTGCTGGAGCTTCCATGGCTGCCCCATGCCGCGCTCCATCCTGGAAGGGCCTAGTGGAGGAGATTCTACAATCAACATTGGAAAATGGTCTCGACATTCAACAGATCAGCGCTGATGATCTAGCCAAATTTCCACCAGGAATCCTGCCCCTCCTTCGAACTCTTCCAATCGAACTACCCGAGGTAGATGTTGAACCGGTACCATCGGACAATCCAGAACACTTCGAGTTTAACATGAAAGGGGTCCTCAGATTCGACCACGAACAGGCGGCCAGAGCCCGCAACATCTTGGATGCTCTTGAGAATGGCGCCACTGATCCAGAGACGCTTACCCAAGGGGTTGACATTTGCTATGAGCTTGGTGGCCAGAGGCTCTTTGTACTCATAACAAGCATCTTATACAGACACAACCGCCAGCCCAGTGAGATTCATGAAATCATTGCCCGCCTCGCGAAGCCTGACGCTCGGGGGCTAGGATGGGATTCTATTATAACATACAACTTCGACAATTTTATGGAGATTGCGCTCACCGACGCGGCGGTGCCGAATGCCGGCTGGGCGATGAAGGGAGATCGGATGTGCGGCGATCCTTGTTGGCTGGCCATTGAAAATCAAGGAAGGAACCCGTCCGCACGGCACCAGGCGGTTTACCACTTGCATGGCTACACGCCAAAGAAGCGGTTCAACATCGCAGGGGTCGGATTTGTTCTCGCCGACTCCCAGTTCAAAAGTCGCTACGCTGAGGGCCAGCCCATTACGCCAATCTTTCGGTTGGTGGAAAACAAGTACCTGGGGAAACCCAACCATGTTGCTCTATACGTCGGGTGCTCGTTCCAAGACAAATATATGAACGGACTGGTGAAAGCCTCGTTCGACCGGTGTTATGGTCGGTACCACTACGCCCTCATGAAGTGGCCCACCAAAAGAAACGGGAAGGAGCCAACACAGGAGGAGATTAGAGACGCTTCCAAGCAGTATCTCGAGATTGGTGTGCGTCCTATCTGGTTTGACGAGTTTGGAGAAGAAAAGGGGCTTTTGGAACGTCTGGCATAACCTGCATCTGAATCGGGAAACTGTCGAATTTTGGGGGGATTATCCGGGGGTGCAATCTCCACATTCCGGCGTGGTGAAGCACCCCAAGTGTTTACTTTCCTTGGGCTCGGGAGGATGTCGGTCTGGAGGTCCCGTGCACTCACCCTCGCTGGTGACATTCTTGCTACATGGAAGCCTAACGGTGAGTATTTGGGGTCCTGCCTTCTCGACTATTATCGGTTCTCTACCGCTAGGCCTGAGGGTAATAAAGCGCCCCTTGGTACCGTTTGGTCTTATGCTTGTTGCGCAGAATGGTTTTGCTTCGTCGAATTGACATCGCAGGATAAGGTCTTTGATTCCTCGCCACTACTGGGAACTCTGGTATACCCCGCCACGCCCCAGCCGGGAGAATTTGGGGGCGGGGGAGGGCGGGGAGGACAAAGGGGGCGAGGGGCGGCAGGAATTTGGGCAGAGGAGGAATAATGGGAAGCGTATATATAGGTAGGGAAGATGGGAAGGGCAAATAGGGGGACGGGAGGATGAGGATGGCAACAGAGAGGAATCTGAGAGACAGGATGGAAAGGGGGTGCGGGGGGGTTGAAGACAGAGAGCAATGGGTAGTCATTAGAGTCGTCTTTGGTAGGTACGGGGTACCTAGATAGGCAACCTTGGAATATATAACAACCTAGGTAGTTCGTAGCCTCATCAGATGGAAAGTGTCTCGGTTGATTTTAAGGCAAGGCGTCTTGCGGCAGCGCCCGCTGGGGTGGCGCTGGCTTCCGCGCTAGTTAACTGGTCGTGCTTATTCAATGCCCCCCCGCAGTGCCCGCCAAACTATTATTTAGGCTACAGCCGAGTCAACTTTGATACTTGTTCACCGCGAACAATTGCACTATCTGGTATGTATGACTGGCATTGTCGGTGGGTGATTTCGTCTCTGCAATCAGGCATCCCAGCCTAGGGCTCACCCAGGCGCTGGAATGCGAGTTTGGAGGCATCGGGGACCTGTATGCACTGCTCGACCAACGGTCCAGCCCGGGCGGACAGCGGACGACAAAAAATGTAACAAAAAACATGGACTACGCAACGCCCTCACTTTCAGACTGGGGAAAACCTGCACTCCGCAACAGACGTTGTATCCTCCGGATCACGTTCAATAAGGATAAAGAAGGCTGCAACAAATATACCCAAGGAGATGAGAGAGAATATTTGGAGAAACACACTGTTGCCGGACGGAGCTTACAAGTAGATCGTAACTACGTGGCAAGAGAATCATGGCCGGTAGCTCTCCGAGATCCCAAGACTTCTGGATAAAAGTTCAGAGTATTGGAGAGGCGGCAACTCCATGTTCGAAAGAGGCTCGGTCGGGGGACTCTTGGAGTGATAATGTTGTCCTTCAGATCTTGAGACTGGCTGTCGACTGGTCGGGCTTAGAGAGGTAAGGTGTTAGGCACCGTCTTCAGACCACATTTGGAAGAGTGATAAACTGCAGAACGGAATGATCCATGATGACTAGACTAGGATAAACTGGGAAAGGAGGTTTCTAAAACGGTATCTGTGATTTCTTCGACCTCCTAACGGCACAAGAGCACCCCGAGGATCCCAGCAAACAAAAGAATCCGCCGAGGCTAATGGAACTTGTTTCTCGCCGCATTTTTGTCGTTCTCCAGGTAAATTTCGACCTTGTTTGTCATTCGCGAGTCGATGTCCTTGCACCATAAGCACGCAAGGATGCTGATACCTCCAAAGGACAAAGAGGCCAGAGCGGTCGTTCTGGAACAAGAGCATCCAATTGTCAGTACGTGCCCGTGCAACCGCAGCCTGTCAAAAAGGAGATGTGCTATGGGGATGGTGCTTCGTTACCTACCGTAGTGCTACGACATAGGATTGTTGAAACGCCGCAAGCGCGGCTGCGAGAATCTCTTCGCTGATACCTGGCACGGCAGATAGTGCTGTTGCTCCCAGTGGCAGGGCACTCAAAAGTGCCTCGACTGACGTTGAAGGCAAGCCTGCTGCCGTAGCCGCAGGCGGGACGAGGTCCTTCATACTCTTCGCTTGGACATTGGTGAGAATGGTCGTGCAGACCGTGAGGGCTATCACGCCGCCGCCGTTGCGCGCTACACCCGAAAGCCCGCCTGACACTCCTAGATCTTCTTGGTCCACCTGGACCAGCGTCAGAAATGGTCAAATGGAGGGGAGACGGACGCAACTTACTCCAAGTTGTGTATAGGCGATGGAGAGATACTGGCCCCAACCCATGGTAATCTGGTTCAGAACCACAAAAGCAATCATCATGCCCTTCCGATCTGGCCGGCCAAGTCCCAGCAGAGCTCCGAATAGCACTGTGATCACCACCGAGCCCGTGAGCGTCCATTTCCAATTTCGCAGACGGCTTCCAAATGCTACCAGGAATATGGCGCCCACCACGAGACCGATATTCGGGGGCAAGGAAAGGATAACCCCGGTGGTAATGTCGGTGGCGCCGCCCCAGAAGACATTGCTAGAAGTGTCAGTACCCGAGTGGTTCCGTTCCTTCATACTTTGGCATCACTTACACCATGGTCGGCCATATGACGTTGATGATGTAGTAAAACATGGTTTCTGTCTAGATGGTATGTCAAATTTGGTACTGAGGGGAGAAAGCGGGAGCAAAACGGTCCGCCATAAATGATCCTGGCTGAGCACTCACAAATACTACGAGGAACGGTGCAGTCATGTCCCTCCCGTTGCCCTTGGTAAACACATGTCGTGGGCACAGTGGATATCGGACGTTGAATCTCTGCTCTGCTTGATTCTCCCAAAGACCGAAAAGGGCCACGAAAACGAGGCCGACGGTCAGCGGAGTCACGACACGTCGATCCGAAGACGGTATTGTGGTGGTGAGAAGACATCCCGTCATGGTTCTATGGTCCTCGTCAGAGCTGGGAAAGGTGATATATCGCTTCGGCCGCCGCGGAAAGAGTGGGGTTTGTGAATCACATACAATGTTCCGCCAATGACGAAGAGGGCAATGCCAATCCAGTCCAGATTGCGGAGTGCCTCCTTCCAAGGGACCCCCCTGGGGTGCTTTGGAGGATGATATAGAACATAGACTCCAGCAAAGCAGAATACCTTGAGACGTCAGCGATGACGATCCAGCAGGATGAATCGCAATGACCTACGTGCGAAATGGCGGGAGCATAGAAGCACCATCTCCACGCATTGCCGTGCAGCGCAACATACCTGCCTGCAACGGGACCGACCTGCAGGGTTGTATTAACATTTTGATTGTCACCTTTGCTCTGCACTTGGGAGACTGACAAGGATGCTGACGAAGAGGCACAGATCGGTGATGACAACACCTAGGACAGTCAGGCTTTTCGTCAGACTGTCACAAAGGACGCGATATTCTCATACCTATATGGCGCCATTTGTTGGGCATCAGTTCCGGCTATCAGACGCAGTTAGGAACCTGTCAGCGCTTGATTCATTCCAGGAGAGATTACTAGAGCGAACGCGGCAAGCTGACAGTTGCCAGAGCCGAAGCCCATAATGGTCATGGCAATGATGATCGTGTTGGCTTTTTTCGCGCTTCCAGCCACGATGTTGCCAATCTAACCCAGGACCAAGTTAGCTTGGGGATCATGGATTTTCAATGGCGTGGTGCCGAGGTGCACGTACAAATGTGAGAATGTTACCAAAGAGGATGAAATTTCGTCGGCCAAGCAAGTCCGAGTTGGCACCGCAGGTCATGAAGGCGATACAGACCGCCAACACAAAGGACGACACGTACCAGGTGGCTGCAGCGGCGTCCCCGAGGTCTCCGGCGACTGTGCCTCCCATGGCGGTCACTGTCGGTATAGGCCAGAACGCTGTGCCGAACTGGACCGAGAGGATCTGGGATTCTCAACGTCAGGAGCCGTTAATTACTCGGCAAGCCGTAGTACTCGTGTTGGAGGAATGGGATGCGGTCGTCCTACCGAAATGACGATCCAAGTCTTCAGCGTGACGAGTCCCTCGTCTGCGGCGGCGGGCATCGCGGCTGGGACATTCTCAAGTTGTTGTTCGACTTTGTCTTCTTCTAGTTGTTTCCCGTCCACTTGAACGGTCTCATTGTCCATCGCCATCTTCTCCATTGAGAGCTCGGAGATACTATATCGTGGAGAGATACGTCAACCTCGCCAATAATGCTTCGCTCGATTGCGTTGGAAAGACAAGAAGGAGTCGTGGCAGACAATTGTAAACTCCTCAGAAGCTCTTGGGAACCCATATCTATACATGTGAAGTGAAAGTGGCAAGAGAACGTCTAGAACCTGGTGCCTCGACGCAAACGTGCCCTTGCGTCGACATTGCCTACCAGAGAGCACGAGCCCTCGGTAGAGGGATTCCTGGGGCCGGAGTCAAGCTAGAAGCCGGAACCGAGATATAGTTCCAACCTTCCTCGACGCTCTACTCGAAACGTAAGGCTGGGGAATTGGAGTACGGGGCAGTCATGGGGACACCATAGATATCCCAGACACTGCCCCCAGCAGACTCGCATGGTAGCCTTTGCTGCGAATGTTCCAGGAAATAGAGGTTTCCCAGACACAAGTGTCAAGAAGAACGGCCGAATTCCTTTGAACCGATGAGACTAACACGCGCATCCGTCGCTTCCGTTTCAGCTCCTATAGTTGGCAAGCCCCTTTTTTTGATCGTGCCTCGAATTCGCCGTGCAAAGACGGTGAACTTTGGCCCGCAGCTGAAGGTAATTCGACATTCGAAATCTTTCCATCCTTGAAGTACGAAAAGGACACTGTCAAAGCTGCGTCCGCCATGTTTTTCACTAGCCTCGGCAGATGGCAACCACACCGCCAGAGTCGGATGTGAATCAACGCATGAGGGAGACTGTGCAGCACCCCCTGAAGGTCAGCATGGAAGGTAATGCAGGTAGGAGATTGTCGACAGAAATACTTAATGTTGATGATCTCTGCGTCTGAAGTCAATGGTGGCGCTTGAACAAGACAGGTTCTCTTTGAGTGTCCTTGAGTTTCTCATACGCCATC